TTAAGCTCAGAGTCTTACTTTCTATTTTTAAACCCTAAACCCCTCCCTATCCTCTTTGACCTGATAAACCCTGAGTCTTCTTATCAACTCTTCCTCCCTATATCACTCCCTATCCCCCTGGCCTGATATCCTCCTCACTCCCCCCTCCATTTAAATACTAATTGTGCTCCTTGGATGTTCGCTACTGCCCCCTGTCCTAGTATGTTCTGTTTGAATCTCTTCATGATTTCCTCTTCTTGCTCTGGCTGTTGCCGTGCCTGCTGCCTCACCACTTTCCACTGGGCCTTGAGATGTGTTTCAATGAGCGTTAGAAAAATCTCCCTGGACTCCTGTTTATGCATTAATGTTCCCTCAATTGTGGCCTGGTATCGACGCTTCCAAATGGTCCATAGACCATGTTGGCGTAACAACTGAAATATATGCTTTTGAAACGGTTGCCACTGCTTGGGCACCCCTACCCCCAGCAGCAATGCGATCTTTGAGGCGGGAAAGCAAAACCAGCTACTTGCCTCCAGATCCCTCTGACTTCATCCCACATCGCCCCTGCCTCTGGGTACTCCAGCAAGCAATGCAGCATTGTTTCTGGAATTCCTTCTTGGCATACCCTGCACATCTCACTTTCCGCGTCTGTCCGGTTCCTATTCCACCGGCAAGTCAGAAAAAGCATTACATTACAGCAGAAACTCATGCTTCCTCCCGTTTGGCCGCAGGACCCCTGAACAGCATTGATTACTCCACCGTTGGTGGAGGATTGACTGTCAGCTTGCCATGACTCACTCTTTCCTCTCAGACCTGAAAAACCAGCTCTGCCAGATAGTGCTATATCACCTAGAAAAAGCTCGCCCATTATTTCTGCTTGCGTGTGCTTTCCCCCTCATCAGCCCTGCCCATGAGTCAAGGTATCCCTATTCCATTAAGCCTTCCCCCTTCTTTTGAACGCTACAAAAACCTAAACCCTAAACCCTCAGCCATCATACCTCACTGTCCCTTCTGGGCTGGGATTTAGGACTGTGTATCTGTTTCCTTTGAGTGATATGGGAGCCTGCCTTCCTTGTATCCTTACTCTTAACACCCTCTGAGTCAACCTTTCCTCCCTTGCTCCAGCCTTCCGGTGGCGTACATCCATTCCCAGGCTGTTCCTCAACGGACGTGATGGTATAGGTTCGTCGTTTTCTCTTTGGGATTCTGATCAGGAGGTGCCTTGCCCATGTGCATCTATCTGCTGCCGAACGCTTCTTCCTGAGTTTGAGTTGTGCCAGTCCTTCCAGCAGATGCGGTCGTCTCGTAAATCAGCAACTTTCCCGTTTATCAACGATACCCTGCTGAATCTCAAACTCGCCTTCTTTTGTTGTTCCTCATCCTCCGACCATGATAGTTTGATTTTCCGCCATCTGAGAAGGATTTCAGCCTGTATCATTGTTTTCGTCTCCGCCCAAATCATCTCTCATGAGTTGGACACCCTTTCGATTGTTCTGCTGCATCTTTCCTTCCATATGACCCATAGGGTCACCTTCCTGATAAGTCCATACCAAATCTTTTCCGCTTTCCGGAGCTGCTTAGGGATGTTAGTCAGAAGGAGAAGTTGGATGGGTTGTTCAGGGAAAGGGGTCGGGAAAAGGGAGTCCCAGAGGGTCGAGGCTCTCGCCCAGTAATCTGTCGCCTCCCTACARTGTACTAAGCAGTGTACTATGTCCTCTACTGCACCCTSCGTACATRCCTTACATTGATCAGAACTGTCRGGGTCTGAACTCTTYCGCCTAACGTGTAACCACTGATTAACTGGTAGTGYCGCGTATATGATCAGCCATTGAAGGCTTCTGATTTTGATTGGTCTGATCGTTTTATAAATCTTCCATGGGATCTGTGTGATGTTGTCGGCTTCCTGACCTATTAGCTTCTGCCATCTGGCCTTGATCGCCGGTTTTGGGTCTTTTGTTTTTAGCAGTAGCTTGTACCCAAATTTGACCGTGCAATCCTGTATGGGGGTGAGCGTCTTAATGTTTGTCCTCTCCTGTACCCAAATTTGACCGTGTAATCCTGTATGGGGGTGAGCGTCTTAATGTTTGTCCTCTTTTCTGGTTTCCACGCCCATTCCATCGGGTCAAACTCCAGGTTGTGTAATGCCGTATCAAATCTGAAGATAAACTTCGGCCATGTGCCTAACACCCTTACTTTTCTGAGCAAGAAGTAGTCCATGACTGTCGTTTCCACGTTGGTGTTCATAATCGACGGCATTCCCTTCGTGGAATGTGCAATCAGAAAGGAGGTGAGCACCGCTTGAGTAGCTGATCCCCGTTGTAGGTGTGAGAATTGGAAGGCCCTAGAGGGAGGATTTTCCAAGGCCCCCCTTGTTTCAGCATATCTTTCCACTCCTGAGGGACAAGATTAGTAATGTACTGCAGGTTAGGTCCTCTTCTATGACAACCCTTCAAACGTGCACTTAGCTCCTGCTCAAACACCCATTCCTTCTTCTCTTCGTTCCACAAGTGGCTAATTGTCCAAACTCCATTCTTTACCCATGACAGCCATTTGTGGTCTAAGAACAAGGGTTCATCGCTTTCGCCCTTTAACCACTCATTGCCAAACAGAGGCTGTCTCAGCACCTCATCCTTCAATTTCGGTCTATTAATCTTTTCTTGGCATTATTTCCCTCCAAATCCGGATTAGAGCCGCCTAGTATGGTGTTTGGCGGTTGTCTATGTTCCGCTCTATTTCCCTCCTGGGTCTTCTCCTCACCTTTTTCAAAGACCATTCCTTATTCATTACCCAGAATAGACCTGTCGTGTTATTTGGCGATGACACCGGGGCTAGGGCCCTTATGCTGTTCAGGGCCAGCTTATTCCATGTCGTTTCTGGTTTCGTCAACAGACGGACTATCCATTTGACTTGAAGGGCTCTGGTCTCGCACCTCGGGCCAATGATTCCTAGCCCTCCGTGTATTGGTTTTCTTGAGATGTACTGCCATGCTATCTTTGGGATACGACCTTCCTTGTTGGGGTTGCCCGTCCATAGATATGTTCTAGCCACTCTATTTAGTTTCGTCTGGAATTGTCCATGCCGACGCAATGTACCACATCATGGAGAAGACTGAAGTGTTGAGTACCAGGACCCTACCTACCAATGAGGTGAATGTATTCCCCCATCTTCCTAGCTTATTTATCTGCTTGGCTAACATGTTATGGGCCATCTGGGGTTTCAGACCCTCCCGTGTCATGAGAATACCTAGGTATTGGGTGGGGGGTTCCGGCGCGTCCCAGGACATGGCAGCCTCAGGCCCTTGCAGGTTTGGGATTTGTTCGTCAGACAGCCACCAACCTATGGTTTTCTTCCAGTTGATCTTCATTTCTGATGTGAGTCTGAACGCTTCCATTGCCCTGGACAGTGCTTTAAAAGACGAATCCGATGCTCTAATCAGCACTGTCATGTCGTCTGCGAACAAGATTAATGTCGGAAACTTGAGATGATGAGACATCCCTACGTTGACCTTTGGGAGTCTGTGTATAGAGGGGTCTTTTTGTAGGAAAGAGGCAATGGCCTCCATCACAAATAGGAAGATCGAGGGAGCGAGCGGGTCCCTTTGCCTGACTGAGCGTGATATTGGGTAGCTATCAGATAGGAACCCGTTAATCTGTACACAACCTGAGGCATCATTGTACAAGACTTGGACCCATTTCCTAAAGATTGGTCCCACCCCCATGCGCTCCATACTTGTGTCCATAAAGGACCAATTAACTTGATCATAAGCTTTCTCAAAATCAAAAAGAAGTATGGTTGTGTTTATCCTCCTTTCTCTGACTTTACTGGCTGCTTCGTTTAGAGTCAGCACGTTGTCTAATATGTAGCGTCCTGGGATAAAACCCATTTGATTGATATGAAAACATTTATCTGTTATTTTCATGATTTTGACAGCCAGGGTCTTGGCAA